ACTTATCCATGGTTTAGTTGGAATTTCTAATAGAGAAAGCTACATTTCATGCACCCTGCTTCTTGGCCTGGTCACCTGGTCAGACGTTTCATAGAATTTAAGAGCAGGATCTTAACCATTTTGCTTTGTTCAACATGAATCTCCTCTAGGGCATCAGTTCTTCTTTAAAGTACCTTTACCTGGATTATTATGAAGCAGTTGCTACCTGAGCCTATTCTTACATATTAACAGTCAAAAAATGAACATTTAAGGAATAAATTCTAAAATATGCAAGGAAGATCTATTTTTTGCAGGGGTGAACCCAGGGGCACTCTACCACTGAGCTACATACATCTCCAGCCCTTTTTATTTTTTATTTTGAGACAGGCTTTTACACAGTTGCCCACACTGGCCTCAAACTTGTGATCCTCTTGCCTTAGACTCCAGAGTCACTGGGGTTACAGGCATGCATCACTGCACCTGGCGAAGAAAGTTCCTTTCTGAAACAATGAACAACAAAGACAAACCACTAAGTATAATCTGGCTCCCATCTCAATTTCTTCTCTCATAAAGTATACAAGTATCTTGCACTCAATGGAAGACTCATTTATTCATTTACCATAATCATTTATTGAATCCTTCATTGATATTTTTGAGTATACACTAAATTCAGGAACTGTGTTTAAGCATTTAGGATACAGAGATTTTAAAAATAATAATAATAATTTCTCCTTAATGAGCTACTAGTTTGGTGGCCAGAGGAGAAATAGCTAGGTTTTATGTTAGTTATGGGCACAAATAGCTACATGGAATGAAACAAGAAAAAGGCACGTAAGGCCAAGTGGAGAGAGGTTCCCTGTCACCGCAGTCCTCTTGAAGATGATGCACCCACGAATCAACTTTTGTAGGCCAAGAAGATCGTCACCATGATGCTACTGTTGCAGAGGAGCTCAGTTAGAGCAGCAGGGAGTTGCAGGTGGGGGGCGGGGAGCTGGGGAAGAGAGTACAGGAAGATGGGCCATCGGCAAACTGGCGACAGCCCAGAGGACACTGGGTCATGTTGCCATGCTCAGACCCTTTCTTCGGCAGGCCTGGGATGGCTTCTCAAGCTCATTGTAGTGCAGGGATGCAGAGTGGGGAAGAGCCAGAGGTAAGGCCAAGGAGGCCCCTCAACCAGGGCCTGAAGGCCCATGCCCCCCACCAAAGGGGAGCCAGGGCAGCAGGAGCCACTGGAGGGTATGACTACAGAGCCATGTGATCAGAATGGTCACCTAGAAAGATCTCCTGAAAGCAAAATAAGAAATGCATAGCAAATAGTGATAGTTTGAGTTCTTCTTTACCCATATGTATCCCTTTAATTCTTTCTTCTAATTGCTCTGGCTAGAGTTTCAAGGATGATGTTGAATAGAAGTGGTGAAAGAGGGCATCCTTGTCTTACACCAGTTTTTAGAGGGAATGCTTTCAACTTTTCTCCATTTATAATTAAGCTGGCCTTGGGTTTAGCATATATGGCTTTTACAATGTTGATGTATGTTCCTACTATCCCTAGTTTTTCTAGTGTTTTGAACATGAAGGTGTGCTATATTTTGTAAAATGCTTTTTCTGCATCTATTGAGATGATCATATGATTCTTGTTTTTAAGTCTATTAATATAATGTATTAAGTTTATTGATTTCCATATGTTTGACCAACCCTGCATCCCTGGGAAGAATCCCACTTGATTGTGGTACACTATCTTTTTGATATGTTTTCGTATGCGATTTGCCAGAATTTTAGTGAGCCACATCAATGTTTATAGCAGCTCAATTCACAATAGCTAGACTCTGGAACCAACCTAAGTGTCCCTCAATAGATAAGTGGATAAAGAAAATGTGGTATATATACTCGGAATATTACTCAGCTTTAAAGAAGAGTAAAATTATGGAATTTGCCAGTAAATGGTTGGAGATGGAGAATATCATGCTAAGCGAAATAAGCCAATCCCTCAAAACCAAAGGCCAAATGTTCTAATATGTGGATGCTAATTCACAATAAGGCGATGGGGGAGGGCACTAGGGAAGAATAGCGTTACCTTAGATTAGGTAGAGGGAAGTGATGGGAGGGAAGGGGAGGGATGTGGGGATAGGAAAGATAGTAGAATGAAACAGACATTATTACTGTGTATATATATATGTGACTGCATGACTAACATGACTCTGCAACATATACACTCAGAAAAATGAGAAATTATATCCCATCTATGTATGATATATCAAAGTGCATAAATGCATTCTACTGTCATGTTTAATGAATGAAAACAAAAAAATTTAATTTAATTTAAAAGATGCACAGAGGGAAACAGATGTGAAACAAAATGGAAAACAATAATGCTCTGAACTCTATCAGTGGCCAAAGGACAGAAGTCCGGTTGGATGAAGGGCGATGGTGATATAAAGGAGACCCTGAGGATATCCTCCAAGGAGCTCAAGTGTGGGGTGGAAAATAAGAAGCCAGTTACCAGAGAGGGATTAGATAGGAAGCAGACTGATGGGAATAAGAGGACAGTAACTTCTGCCATCGTCCTTGGGATAGGTGCGGAGTTTATTTTTCCAAACACAAGGAGAGAACTTTTAATGAAACAGCGTCTCCCCGATGACCTGTATGAATTTATCCTGCTAGTCCAAGAGAAGAGGCCCAGCGTGGCCTGCCTCAGTTTACCATTGGTGTCAGGATCTCTATTTTTATGGTTTCTATATTCTTTTCTGGGACTGAAAGGGGGCTCAAGCTGAAACTTGCCTTCAGATTGAACAAGTTTCTGTAAAAACAAAATTAGGCTAGCTGTTAAAAAAAAAAAAAACAAAATAACAATCCATCTGTTGTGGATGGCAAAGCCTTGGTAATGATACCAATCCCCCCTAGAGGGATTAGAGGGTGAAAACAAGGGAACTCCTAAATTAATCTTTAATGATTTTCTTTTCTTTATCTAACATCAAACACAGCCAATTGCCTGCTTGTCAGGGTACGCTGCTTTGGGGAGAATTAGTGAAATTGGCTATTGCTCAGTAGGTTTTCATTAGAATCAGGTTTATTCAATCATGTGATTCTTAGAAAATAATCTCCTAGTGAAGTTGATGTTGGAGGTTTCTCTTTTGTCGCTAAGCTTGTACCCATGCTACACTTTCATGGTGCAAAACCGTGAACCATGGTCCAGGCGTGGTGACACCTGAAACCCCAGAGACTTGGGAGGCTCAGGCAGGTGGATAGTGAAGTCTGAGGCCAGCCTGGGCAACTTAGCAACACCTTGTCTCAAAAAAAAAAAAAAACCCAGAGAGCTGAGGATGTAGTTCAGTGGTGTAGTGCCCTGGGTTCAATCCCCAATATCAAAAAAAAAAAAATTCTAGAAAGTAAACTAT